AGGACCCAGGAGTGAGGACAGTGGGACCAGGAGCCCGAGTCCTGGGGAACTCTGGGATGGCTGGTGCCTGGGTCTGAGCACAGAGGGGTCCTGGCTCAGGAGGGCCCACGTGGGTGAGGAAGAACCAGTCCCGGACGGTGTCCCCAGCGTGCAGTCCTGGGCAGGGGCCCTGACCCCTGGGTCTCACTGCACAGGGGCTGTGAGGACTGGGCCTCTCCATAGAAAGTTCTCCTCGGGGTCTCTAGAAACATTCTGGGCAGGGGCAGCAGAGCCATCGAGGCACCCCAGGACCTGGACAGGCCGAGGAAGGTGTGAGCGCTGGGTTCTGAGCTGGGTTCTAGGTTCCAGCTCCACCCCTGCTGTGTGGCCTCAGGCACCAGAATGCCCTCTCCAAGCCGTGTCTCCCGCCAGCAGTGGTGTCTCCAGCTGGGCAGAGATGCCAGGGGCTGGGATGGTCCGCTCCTGGCTTCGTGCAGACAAGGGGCAGGAGGGATGGCGGCCCGGGGCTGCACGTGAGAACGTGCATGGAGAAGAAGGGGGTCTTGTCCACACCCAGAAGACGGTGTTGGGAGAAGGAAGTGGAGGAAGTGGACGTGGCCTGTGCCTGCGCTTGTGCGTCTTGGGTGCCTGGCGTGTCTGCGTGTGGGCTGTCTCTCCATGAGTGTGTGCACGTGTCTGCGGTATTTGGCACACATGTGTATGGCGTGTAGTCATGCCTGCCTGCATGTGCTGAGTGTGGTGGAGGAGGAAGGACCCCTCATCAGTCCCTAGGTCTCTGAGGCTGTAACAAGGTCACCAGGGATCTGAGACCAGCCAGGTGTGTTGTCTCAGCCAACAGCCGGCGTGGCCGCCTCTGGGCATAGTCGATTTCTCAAATAAGATCAACGTCAGATCCTGCAGGAAGACAGTCTGATCCAGACAGGTTGCAGATGTTCTAAGATAAAATAACCTTTCTTTAGGAGGAAAGAAAAGAAGAGGGTAGGTTTGCAACCAGGTTAAAAAAAGCAGCACCCATCCGGACATGTGGAGAGCTGTTTCCTGTTAAACAATCCTGTTAGTAACCCCCACCCTCTGCAATTTCTCGTTTTGAGGCAATTTCCAGGACGACCTCTCCATATGAAGGGCAGGTTTGAGGACCCTGCATTCAGGAGCGGGGACCGAGCCCCCGGACCCAGCCTGTGGCCATGGGCTGCACCAGCTGTGTGCTCAGGACGGCCAGCGAGGAGGCCATGGCTCTGGACCTGGCTCAGGGACAAGGGGCTATCCGAGTGTGGAGGAGAGCACTGGCTCCAGGGGATGCCCCTCAAGGCAGTGGCCGTGGGGCTGGGGTCTGCCAGGAACCTCTGAAGGCCCTGGACAGGGTTCCCTGCTCCCAGTTGGCCTCGCGGTCAGTGTGACTGAAATGGGAGATGGGGACTCTGACCAGATGGAGATGACACCCTCGAGGCAGATCCAGGACCAGGGAGCAGCCGTCAGAGCTGTGTTTCATTCGCTGATCCACCTGGAGTTTGTTGTCTTAGACTCTGTGTTGGGACCTGTCCTGGTGTTAACTCAGGCCTCAGTGGATTCCTGGTCCAGGGTGAATGAGGTCATGGGCAGCACAGCCCTGGACAGTGGAACTGATGTTGTGGATGTGTGGGCCGGGAGCCCAGGGAGGGATGTCGGGTGGTGGTTCAGACTGAGCCGGGCGTTGCAGGATAGGTAGGAGGAGTCCGGTGGTGGCTTTCAGACCAGACGGGCGTTGCAGAATAGGTAGGAGTGAATTGGTGGTTCAGACTGGGCCGGGCGTTGCAGGATAGGTAGAGTCGGGTGGTGTGGTTCAGACTGAGCCGGGCGTTCACGGGATAGGTAGGAGGAGTCGGGTGGTGGTTCCAGACTGGGCCGGGCTTTGCAGGATAGGTAGGAGTCCGGTGGTGGTTCAGACTGAGCTGGGCGTTGCAGGATAGGTAGGAGTCAGTGATGGTTGAACTGGGCCAGGCGTTGGATATGGTAAGTCGGGTGGTGAGAGAGAGGCTGGAGGAGGTGGAGGCGCCAGGCCTGAAAGCAAAGTATCTGAGTCCCGTCTGCCAGGTAGAGCCAAACAGGCATGAATGTGTCATTGCTGCTTTGACCATGTATATATAAGCCGTGGGGGTGGCGTGCCAATCAGGCCCCCCGTGGGTGACTCCGTGATGAGGCATCAGGCTACCCATTATTGAATACAATATTGTCAATACGAAAGAAAAAATCAGGTTACAGAACACAAACCACCTGCTCCAACTCTGCGGTGCCTGACCGTGCAGGCAGGGTCGGGTGTAAGTCCCAGGCGAGGTCCCGGGCGTGGGGTCCTGGGTCTGGCCCGCGTGGCCAGGCCTGGCGTGGGGGTCCTGGGCTGGCCCAGCGTGATGCCACAATGTGGGCCTGAAAAATCTCCTCTCAAGTGTGGGAAGAGGGCGCTGAGAGTTATGGTTCAGACTGGGCCGGGCGTTGCAGGATAGGTAGGAGTCGGGTGGTGAGAGAGGCTGGAGGAGGTGGAGGCACTTGAGCCTGAAAAGCAAAGTATCTGAGTCCCAGATGCCAGGTGAGCCAGGCAGAGCACTTGGGCATGAATGTGTCATTGCTGCTTTGACCATGTGTAAGCCGTGGGGGTCGGCGCCAATCAGAGGGTTTCGTGGGTGACTCCGTGATGAGGGCATCCAGGCTACCCATTGAATACAATATTGTCAATACGAAAGAAAAAATCAGGTTACAGAACACAAACCACCTGCTCCAACATCTACGGTGCCCTGACCGTGCCAGGCAGGGTCCCGGGTGTGGGGTCCCAGGCGTGGGGTCCCGGGCGTGGGGTCCTGGGTCTGGCCCGCGTGACGAGCCTGGCGTGGGGTCCTGGGCCTGGCCCGCGTGATGAGCCTGGTGTGCAGACACTGAAGAGTCCTCTCAAGTGTGGGAAGGGCGCTGAGAGTTATGCACCTTTTTTTTGACAATAAAGAGAAATTTGCACATTAAAAAGAAAAGCTGGAGGGATAGATAAGGGGAGGTGATGGTGCTGCAGTGGGGTCTGGAAGCTTGTTTTTACTCCCTATCTGCATTGTCTAATATTTCAACAAGGAACACGGTGATTATTCCTGAATGTATATGGGGGGATCTCATTTCCTGCGTCTGGCCCTGCAGGAAAAGCTGGGAGGGGGCGCCTCAGAAAGACGGCTCCACACTGCAGGGGTGCGGGGGCGGGGGTGTCTTCCATTGTACCCGGGCTACTGCGGGCTGGTCCCTGAGCAGGGGCAGGCAGTGTGCAGACACCAGTGCTACAGGGAAATTGGCTTTTTCTTCTGGGGTTTCTCTCCATTAGAGCAGGCTGTGGTCAGCTGTCAGCCAGGAGACACCAAGCTGGCCCAGGGCTGTGGCTGGAGACCCCAGTGGGTCGATTAAAATCTCCCTGGGCTTCAGAGACTCAAATTCCCAAACTGTGATCTTTCTTGGCTCCCTGCGTCCTTTGCTCGGAAGCTATCTGTTATTTTGCCAGGGTGCCGCTATGTGACGGCCAAGGGCTGAACTGGGGTGTTCCAGGTTTAAGCCCTGTACCCCCCCCAGAAAGCCTGGGTGACCTCAGGCCTCACTCCACACTGCAGACAAGCAAACCTCAGGGCGGTGGTGAGGAGCTTTCGGGTGAGGTCAAAGCAGGAAGCTGAGCTTGGTCTGGGGAAAGCTGTCCCAGGGCTGCTGGAACCCAGCGGGGACGTGCCTGCCGGAGCTGCCTGGGCGCCTACACCCTTTGCCTGAATTTCTCCTTTTCCCACGGAAGTGGTTGGGGACTGAGGATGTGGCTTCGCGGCAGCCTGGGAGGCTGGGCTGAGGAGGACACAGGTCCGGGAAGGCCCAGGCTGGTCTCTAGAGAGCGGGACTGGCCTCTGCCCACTGCCCCGCTTTAGGGAGGAGGCCCAGAGGCCGGGGAGACAGAAGCAGGGGCCCTGCAGGCCTCGCTGCGCCCTGACCCGTTCCTCGCCTCTTTAGCCGACCTCCCAGGAAGGCAGGAGCTGGGCTCCACGGCCTCTCCCGGCCCTGCCAGCCCCGTGCGGGCCTCCCTGCCTTGCAGTTGCGTCCGGTGCAATCCCGCCATCCGACCGCGTTCCTCCTCCCAGGCCCGGAGCCTCCTCGCCCTGTCGGCGGCGGCCCCCTCTGACCCCAGGGTCGTCTTCTAGAGTCCTGATTGCTGAGGCTGAGCCGGAGCGCCGGGTCTTCCCGCCCCTTCACCTTTCAGTCTTAATGTCTCCCCTACCCTCGCCCCCCACCCCCGTGGCTTTTGGCGAGGTCTGTGCCCTATTTTTAGGCAGAAATTGGCAAAAAGAGTGGGCTGGGAGGTGGTTTCTGTCCCCAACGCCTCCTCTTCTGCGGCTCCCTCCACCGGGACCGGCGATGGGGAAGGTGGGGTTGGAATGAAGTTCAGGGCGGAGCGGGCCCCCCCACGGAGCCCAGGCTTGCCCCGCCCCGGCCTCGGGGAACTGTTGTGGACCGTGCCCCGCGGACCCCTCCGAGTCAGACCCCGATTCAGCCCTCGGCCCCCCGGGACGGTCCTTCCAGCCCCAGATGAGCGCGGCGCCTGTACACAATAGGCGCCCACTAAATGCTTGTTGATGGAGGTGGCGAGTACCAGAAACCAACGGAACCTGGGATGGGATCCGAGAGATCCGGGAATGGTGTGGGAATCTGGTGCCAAGCCGGGGTCCCCCCCTCGCCTCCCAGGGTCTGCCTGGGTCCGAACCCGGGCTCAGGCCCCGCGCAGCTCGGAGCCTCCAGCCCGGAGCGGGTCCCTGGGCCGGGGATGCGCACAGCCGGGGAGGGCGCGCCCGACCTGACCCCAAAGCTGTCAGTTGGTGGGGGGGGTGTCCCCGGGGAATTAGAAGCTGTCTCCTCCCGGGGATCTCCAAGGGGCACCCCTGCCTCTGCCCCCTGTCCCGCTTTCCCGCCGCGCCCCTCCCCGGCCCCGCCCCCCGGCCGCGCCCCACCCCCTGCAGTCCCCGCGCGGCGGCCGCCCGAGCCACGTGCGCCCGCGCCCGGCAGGCGTTCAGGGAAGCGCGGCCACGCCTGGGCCGGCCACCATTTCCCGGGCGCCGCGGCGGCGCCGACTCGCGGGCAGCGGCCCCTCCGTGCGCCCAGCCTGGCCCCCGAACGCCGGGAGCATGAGCGCGGGCTCGGAGCGCGGGGCGGCGGCGGCCCCCGGGGGGTTGCCCGCGCCCTGCGCCTCGAAGGTGGAACTGCGGCTCAGCTGCCGGCACCTGCTGGACCGCGACCCGCTCACCAAGTCCGACCCCAGCGTGGCGTTGCTGCAGCAGGCGCAGGGCCAGTGGGTGCAGGTAGGGCCGGGGCGCAGGAGGCCGAGAGGCCACCGGGCCGGGGCGGGCGCTGAGCTGGGGATGCGGGGACCGGAGCGGGCGCGCTGAGGCCAGTGGGGCGCAAGGCGGGGGCCCCCCGGAGCTGGGGCTCAGATCGGGGTCAGGGTTGGGGGTTGCTAGGTCTGGGGGGGTATCCAGAGCGGAGGGGAGGGGTTGGGCTGGAGGAGGCGGCGGCGAGCGGGGTTCGGAGAGAGGGGGGTGCCCCGCAGCGAGGGGTGCGGCCCAGGGTTTGGGGAGGGGGCCCTGGGCCAGAGGGAAGCGTCCAGGCGTGAGGCGCGGGCAGGGGGCTGGACCAAGAGGCGCAGAGGAGATTGAGGGGTGAGGGGCGCCGGCCGACGAGCGGGGGAGGCTGGGCTGGGGTCGGGTCCTCACCACGGGGCGGGAGCAGGCCCGAGGGAGCGCGCGCTGCGGGGCGGACCTCCAGGCCTCCGGGGCTCCCGCTCCAACGTGGGTCTCAGGTGACCCCGGTGTGTCCGCGGTTGGGGTCGGAAGGGGCACGGTACCGGCGCCAGATGGGCGCTTCCTCGGTCACCATCTCGCGTGAAACGCGTGGCTTCACCTCGAAAGGGTGAGAAACGCGGGGCGCGAAGCCGCGGCGGGTGGAGGAGCTGGAGCTCGAACCCCAGTCCACGCGGCGCGCCAGCGCTTTTCCCCGGCGCAGGGGTCTCTCCGGACTCCAGAGCGCGGGCCCGGGCGGCGTGGGCAGGGGGACCCCAGCGGCTGCTCGGGCGGTGGAGGGGACGCGTCGCGAGGTCCTGGGTCGCTGTCACCCGGCGAAGGGCCTGCTCCGCCCCCACCGCCTGTCCCTGCGGCTCCGGCTCCCCCAGGAGGCCCCGTGCGCGCCCCTCAGAGCCTGAGCTGTACGGGTGGCCCATGCTTGCCCTTGGTTTGAGGTGCAGGATTTTTCGGGATTCTGAGATGAGTAGCCCACGGGCCCAGCTGGGTCTTGTCGTTAGGGGGCATTTTGACCAGGGAACTGCGCCAGATGGGAGAGGCTGGTGAGCCCATGGTACCCCAGCCAGGAGGGAGGGCTCCCCTGTACCCTACGCCCCCTCCCCACTCAGCTGGTGCTGGGCAGCATTCTGCACTTCAGGGTTGCCCAGCCCAGGGTGTGAATCTGATCTCGCCCCCGACTCAGCATGTCATTCTCATCCTCTCTGAGCCTCAGTTTCCCCATCTGTGATCTGAGGGTGGAGCAGACAGTGGTGAGTGTGAGCTGAGAAACTGCAGCCCACAGCTGGCCAAGGGTGACCCCCAGGGTGGCCCTCGGGAGTACAGTTCCATGGACAGAGAGCAGGCAGGAGGAGGTCTTCCCAGGGTGTGAGTCCTCCTGGGGTGTGTGGGTGTGGGTAAGCGGCAGAGGGGAGACAGGGCTGGAGCCTGGGGTGGAAGCCCCTCGAGTGGGGTCAGCTCACAGGGTGCACCTGCAGGTGGGCAGAACCGAGGTGGTCCGGAGCAGTCTGCATCCCGTGTTCTCCAAAGTCTTCACCGTGGACTACTATTTCGAGGAGGTGCAGAGGCTGCGCTTTGAGGTATACGACACGCATGGGCCCAGCGGCTTCAGCTGTCAGGAGGACGACTTCCTGGGGGGCATGGAGTGCACCCTGGGGCAGGTGGGTGCCCCGTCCCCTTGGAGGGAGGAGGGCGGTTGGTGTGGGGGCCACAGCCGATTCAAGGCTGATGTACCAGCACCGCAGGGACCCTGCTGGGGTGGCCAGCCTGGCTCTGCCCCTCCACAGCTCCTGAACAGTTCTTATTAGATTAAAATATACATGTAATTTTGAACTGGGCAATGCATTCGTATGTTTCAAAGCCTGAAGGTATAAAAGGCTGTGGAGTGCCTCCCTCCTGCCCCGTCCAGCTGCTGTCAGGTCCCTGGACACTGTCCAGAGAGAGATTCTCACAGCAGCAAACAAGCCTATCACTTTTCCTCTTTTTTCTTCCTTTTCTTTTTTTTTGTTTTGAGATGGAGTCTAGCTGTGTTGCCCAGGCTGGAGTGCAGTGGCACGATCTCGGCTCACTGCAAGCTCCGCCTCCTGGGTTCATGCAATTCCCCTGCCTCAGCCTCCCGAGTAGCTGGAATTACAGGCGCCCGCCACCTCGCCTGGCTAATTTTTGTGTTTTTAGTAGAGATGGGGTTTCACGGTGTTGGTCAGGCTGGTCTTGAAATCCTGACCTCGTGATCCGCCCACCTTGTCCTCCCAAAGTGGTGGGATTACAGGCGTGAGCCACGGCGCCCAGCCCACTTTTCCTCTTTTTTCAAAAAAACAAATTATGTTCCCTGTTCTGCATCTTGTGTTTTCACTTCCATGACATGCAGCAGTCGCTCCATAGCAGCACCTCGAAGTCTCCTGGTGGCCGGCCACGGTGGTTCACACCTGTGATCCCAGCACTGTGGGAGACCGAGGCAGGCGGATCACCTGAGGTCAGGAGTTCGAGATCAGCCTGGCCAACATGCTGAAACCTCATCTCTACAAAAAGTACAATAATTAGCCGGGTGTGGTGGAGCACACCTGTAATCCCAGCTACTCTGGAGGCTGAGGCAGGAGAATCAGTTGAACCCGGGAGGCAGAGGTTGCAGTGAGTGGAGATCTCACCACTGCACTCCAGCCTGAGTGACAGATTGAGACTCTGTCTCAAAAAAAAAAAAAAAAAAAAGAAAAGAAAAGAAAAAAAAAGCCTCCTTGTGAGCAGCAGGTCCTATGGTGGCCACTGCCCTTGGTGATGCCCTCTGGGTTACGGCCTCCACAGCCAGCCCAAAAGTGGCTTCTGCAAGTCAGGACCAGAGTATCTGCTGATGTGCAGGGCATTGCCGGATACTGCGCTAAACACGTCCCGTGCTGCACATTGAATCCTCACACCTTGATGAGACTGGTGTGGCTCACGCCTGTAATCCCAGCACTTTGGGAGGCCGAGGCAGGGGGATCACGAGGTTAGGAGTTCAAGACCAACCTGGCCGACATGGCGAAACCCCATCTTTACTAAAAACACAAAAGAAATTAGCCGGGTGTGGTGGTGCGTGCCTGTAGCCCCAGCTACTTGGGAGGTTGAGGCAGGAGAATCACTTGAACCCGGGAAGCAGAGGTTGCAGGGAGCGAGATCGCACCACTGCACAACAGCCCAGGCAACAGTGTGAGACTTTGTCTCAAAAAAAAAAAAAATTTTTACGACAAAATGCATAAATCTTAAGGGTTGAGACTGACAAGTTTAGGTGACTGTACACACCTGACCATCACTCGTCACACGGAATATCCTTATCACCTGCTCACACGGAACATCCTGTCACCCATCACATGGAACATTCCATCACACAGAACATCCCGTCACACGGAACATCCCGTCACACAGAACATCCCATCACAGGGAACATCCCGTCACACGGAACATCCCATCACACGGAACATCCCATCACACAGAACATCACATCACACGGAACATCCCGTCACACAGAACACCCCATCACCCATCACACGGAACACCCCATCACACGGAACACCCATCACACGGAACACCCATCACACATCACACGGAACATCCTGTCACACAGAACATCCCATCACCCGTCACACGGAACACCCATCACCATCACACGGAACACCCATCAAGCACGGAACACCATCACCCATCACACGGAACACCCATCACACGGAACACCCATCACACATCACACGGAACACCCATCACACGGAACACACATCACACGGAACACCCATCACACATCACACGGAACACCCATCACACGGAACATCCCATCACCCATCACACGGAACACCCATCACACGGAACACCCATCACACATCACACGGAACATCCTGTCACACAGAACATCCCATCACCCGTCACACGGAACACCCATCACACGAAACACCCATCACACGGAACATCCTGTCACACAGAACATCCCATCACCCATCACACGGAACATCTTGTCACCTGTTCACATGGCAATCCCATCACCCGTCACCCACAACATCCTGTCATCTGTCACATGGAACATCCCGTTACCGGTTACACAGAACCTCCCATCACCCATCACACGGAACATCCGTTCACATGGAACATCCCATCACCCGTCACACGGAACATCCTTATCACCTGCTCACACGGAACATCCCATCACCCGTCACACGGAACATCCCATCACCCGTCACACGGAACATCCCATCACCCGTCACATGGAACACCCGTCACACGGAACATCCCATCACACAGAACATCCCGTCACACGGAACATCCCATCACACGGAACATCCCATCACCCGTCACACGGAACATCCTTATCACCTGCTCACACGGAACATCCCATCACCCGTCACACGGAACATCCCATCATCCATCACACGGAACATCCCATCACCCGTCACATGGAACACCCGTCACACGGAACATCCCATCACACAGAACATCCTGTCACACGGAACATAGACATCCCATCCCTGCCAAGACATCCCATCCCACACAGAACATCCTGTCACCCCGGAACATCCCATCACACAGAACATCCTGTCTGGAACATCCCATCTGCAGATTTGTCCATCACCCCCATCGGAGACATCCCGCATCACCGTCACACGGAACATCCCATCACCGTCACATGGAACACCGTCACGGGCATCCCATCACACAGAACATCCTGCTCACACGGAGACATCCATCGCTGGAACATCCCGTCACCCGTCACACCGGAGACTTATCCCTTTATCTCCTGTTCCACACGGAACATCCCACATCATGGAGACTTCATTCTATCACCCGTAACATCCCATCACACAGAACATCCTGTCACACGGAACATCCCATCACGTGGAACATCCCGTCACCCGTCACATGGAACATCCTTATCTCCTGTTCACACGGAACATCCCATCACATGGAACATTCTATCACCCGTCACACGGAACATCCCGTCACCCGTCACACAGAACATTCCATCACCCCCAGCTCCCTCCGCCCCTTTGCCGCCAGCTCCCCACCTGGTTCGTCTGTTCTGGAATTCCACGTCCATGAATCACAGTGCGTGTTCTCCCTGCTGTGGGATTCTTTTACCCAACATAATGTCTGCGTGACTCATCCCACCGCAGCCTCGGTCGGGGCTGGCCTGCCATCGATCCTGTTGTCCTCCCCGTTTTTTAGATAAGGAAACCGGGAGTTAGGGAGGGCACAGACAAAAGAGGATGGCATGGACACAGAAATATGGACACGCTTTTTTTTGAGTTGGGGTCTCACTGTGTCGCCCAGGCTGGAGTGCAGTGGCACAATCATAGCTCACTGCAGCCTCAACATCCTGGGCTCAAGCAATCCTCTCACCTCAGCCTCCTGAGTAGCTAGGACTACAGGTGTACGCCACCAGACCTGGCCAAGTTTTGCATTTTTTAAAGAGACAGGGGTCTCACCATGTTGCCCCAGCTAGTCTTGAACTCTGGGGCTCACTGATCCACCCACCCTGGGCTCCCAAAATGTTGGGATTATAGTCATGAGCCACTGTGTCTGGCCTGGACACCTTTTTATGTACACACAGGTGCACTCGTATATCATAATCCATACAGGACATCCTATGCGTGTCCACATGAGCACACGCACGGGGCCCGTGTGGACACCTGCGTGCAGACATGAATGTGTGTATGAGCACGTGTGCTGTGTATATGTGCAAACTTCAAGCAATGAGGAGGCCCCTGGTGGGCTTCTGCTGGCCTGCAGGGCACCATGGTCAAGGGAGAAGCTCCTGGCACCCAGTCCTGTGCTGTGGCTTGAGCCTGACCTGACCTCTGACGCCTGACTTCTGCCTCAGCTGTTTCCTCATGTGATTGCAGTAAACAGTAACTCAGCCCAGAGCCAGGCGCACGGGAGGCGCTTATTAAACGCTGTTAGCACAAACCAGCTATCTCACTCTTCCTGGCAGGGGAGTCTGTTATGTTAGCCTAAGCCCGTTTCTCTTCTGAGGACCTGCTCTGTCGGAAACGGGAGGTCACTCCTTCTTTTCTGCGCACTCCCTGAAAGCAAACCAGGCCGGCAGGCGAGTCCCAGGTGTGAGGCAGAGGCCCTGGCTCTGGAACTCCAGAAGGAAACCTTTGAATCGGGGAATCTTGGGGGGCCTGGCCCGAGGCTCCCCCTCCCAGCACCCAGGACCCCTTCTTTGCACCCCTAAGAGAGCCTTCCCACCCCTTAGCCTGATTTGACTTCCCCAGCCCTGACCTGGGATCTGTTTTCTCTTCTGTGTGGAAAGTGCCGCGTGCTCTGAAGCTGCTGGCCGGGCCAGCCCTGGTGGGGGTGGAGGGACTGCCCCTGTCTGCTTTGTATTCCACACACCTCACTGGGACCCCCAGCATCCGCCAGGCAGTAGCAGGTGTGAGGGGCAGGTGGGAAGCGCACACCTGCTACCCAGTGGGTGACTCGGTGGTTGTGAGAACACTTCCGTGTGAGGAGATGGCGCTGCCTGCTTGCCGGGGTCATCACTGCCTCCTTTAGGACACGGAGCCTGGGAGGGCCGTGTGCCTCCGCCCTGCTCCCCACTGAGGAGGTGACGTGGCTGCAGGGGCCTGGGCCTGTCATCCGCCACCCACCCCAGTTAGGGGCTCAGAGCCGGTGGGGCGGACGGCCAGCAGGGCCTGGTGAGGAGGAGGAGACCCTGGCTGCGTGAGGAGGCCCCAGGATCTAAGCCCCAGTCCACCTCGGACTATCGACTCTGCTCCTCAGCACCTTCTCAGAGGAGTGGGCGGGGGGGTCCCGGGCTGGCACCTCACTCACACCCTTTCTGCCACCTGGGCCCACATGGCCATGCTGGGCTGAGGGTCCGGGGCCGTTTGACCTGCGCCGCCTCTGCCTCTGCGGGTTCTCACCTGGGCCTGGAGAGGGTCAGGGCAGACATGCTTACCTGTGGAGGGCTCCCACCACACCTGTGCAAGTGCACGCCGGCTGGGCTGTGAGCTGCTACCTGGCTTCCACCTGGGCCTGTTTTCTCACCTGGTAAATAGGTGGGATGACCTCTGCCTCCCCCAGGCGACTGCTGGCCCCGTGAGGTGGTGGCCGTGCAGGGGTGGCCACACAGAGGGATGGCAGGTGCTTGAGAGCAGCAGCAAAGGGGGCACCGGGCCCTGGGCAGGGAAGCCTATGGTGGGGGGCGGGGAGACAGCACAAGCCTGAGAGTCCGGGTGAGGGCGCGGTGGGGTCCCCAGGGTCAGGAGCCGTCCCTGCCTGCCCCTCCCTGCCTGATGCTTCTGACTTACAGATTGTGGCCCAGAAGAAAGTGACCCGCCCGCTGCTGCTCAAGTTTGGCAGGAACGCCGGCAAGTCCACCATCACGGTGAGGCCCGGGTGCACCCGCCGCAGCCTGCAGGCCCTGCTGTGGCTCCCAGGGTGTTCCGAGTGGAAGATGGGCAGCGTGCGGTCCAGGGAGGGTCTGCAGGAGCCGGCAGCTGCACAGCCCTGGGGGCACCCAGACGCCTCCTCTCAGGCCCGGCTGGGTGGGGTCGGCTGGCCTGGGGCCTCGAGTCCCCCACGGTGGGGTCAGGCCCCACCTGGCCAAGCCTGGAGCCCTGGCGTACCCCTGCCAGGTGATCGCCGAGGACATCTCGGGGAACAACGGCTACGTGGAGCTCTCCTTCCGGGCCAGGAAGCTAGATGACAAGGTGAGTGCGGGCGCCGCGCATGCCTGGCTCAGGCTGAGGTCTGGGAACCAGTTCGAAAATCCAGTCCCTGCCCAGCGCTGACCTCGCGTGGCCGTGCCCCGTATGAGATGTGTGTGCAGCGTGCGGAGCCCACGTGGGGTGGGGCTGGGTGTGCTGCTGTCACGGTCACCATCGTCACTGTCACCGCCATTAGCTCTCCTGCCCCTCCTGGCAGCTGGGCTGGGACCAGGGCAGCTCCCTACTGTGGCGACCACTCATGACCCTGCTCAGTGATGGGGAAAGAGGCCCAGCACCCCCAGGCCACCGTCCTGAAAGGGGAGGAGCTGGAGCAGCTCAGAACAGGGTCCCACCCTGCTGTGTAGGGTGTCTCCCTGGAGGGGAGTCGCGCGCTGTGGTCAGATCCCCGGGGGTGGGAGGCAGGGAGGAGATGCTGTCCGCGCAGACTTGCTGCCTCGTTTGGTGCCTGAGGAATTAGCAGCTGGTGGCATGAAGTGAGCTCTGGGAAATGACAACGCCAGCTCCCATCCAAAGCCCGAGCTCACAGTGCCTGGCCCAGCAGCCCTTGTGCCTCTCCCCAGGACCTCTTCAGCAAGTCCGACCCCTTCCTGGAGCTCTTCCGGGTCAACGACGACCAGGGCTTGCAGCTGGTGTACAGGACGGAGGTGAGCGGCGGGGATGGCAGCGCAGGGAGGGGAAGGGGCTGTCCCCAGCCCTCCCACATCTCTGGCCACACGGGAGGAGCTCCAGCCTCCAGCAGGGAGCCGCCGCACAGGGCCTTGGTGGCCGTGGCTGTAGCCAGAATCCAACAGGCTTGTGTAGTTGTGGCTGTGATTATTTTTAGGCCTCCCTTCCACTTGTGCAGGTGAAATGGGATTTCAGCGACTGCAGTGAGAGAGCGCTTTGTTTTGAGAGAAATTAACTTGAGTGGAAATGAATCTGTTTAAGGAGGAGAGCAGTGCAGGTGGCTCAGAGGTGGCAGAAGTTACGAAGGCGGAGGCACGGGGCTCGGAAATGCGGCTCCCGGGTCCCCACACAGCTTCATGCGGGGAGGGGTTGCCAGCCCCAGCTCAGGGCCCCGGCGCTGTCTGGGGTGACGCAGGGGCGGGGCCAGCGGTGCCCGCCTCACACTACTCTTCCACCCAGGTCTCTGTCCGCCCCAAGGATCCCAGGGCCCTGGGCCCCCCCTGAGCCAGCCCCTCCCGGCCCACAGGTGGTGAAGAACAACCTGAACCCTGTATGGGAGCCCTTCAAAGTCTCGCTGAGCTCCCTCTGCAGCTGTGAGGAGACAAGGCCTCTGAAGGTGGGGGACAGGACAGACCAAGGGGGCAATGAGTGGGTGGCCTGGATGTGGGCCGGGGATGGAGACACCCGGGCTCAGGGGTGGGAGGGTCCTGGGGCCCCCAAGGGGCAGTGCTGAGGGGGACTGGGCTCCCCAGTGCCTGGTCTGGGATTACGACTCTCGAGGAAAACATGACTTCATTGGAGAATTTACTACCACCTTCGAGGAGATGCAGAAGGCCTTCAGGGAGGGACAGGTGAGGGGGGTCTTCAGGGAGGGGCAGGTGAGGGGGGTCTTCAGGGAGGGGCAGGTGAGGGGGAGTTTTCAGGGAGGGACAGGTGAGGGGGGTTTTCAGGGAGGGGCAGGTGGAGGGGAGGGGCCTCTGGGGAGGGGCAGGTGAGCGGGGGTACATCTGGACTGCGCCTGTGTTGGCCCCACCACAGAGGCTGTGAAACCCGGTCCCACTGTCCTGACGGGGTTGTGGGGAGCGGCGACAGTGACTTGTTATAACCAGAGAAGGCTGGGATGGTGGACTCTGGTGCTGGTTCCCGAGGGGTCATAGCAGGGGTGGCCGCCATCACATTCAGCTGGAAATTTTCAGGCACCATCCAGGGCTGGGCCGGCCCTCGTGGGGCTTGTGTCTGTGAAACTGTCTAGGGGCGGAGCTGGGCACGGGGGTGGTGGGAGGTGGGGTCAAGGGGTGCCCTCCCCTGTGTCTGCCTGCCCAGCCCACAGCAGCCTGATGAGGGTGCAGTGGGGAGGCCACCCCGGGCCCTGCTTCCTGCCCCCCTCCCTGGGCCTCAGCGTCCTTGGGCTTAATGACAGGGCCATGCCGGGTGGGGGGTCCAACTCCCATCCCTCTTCATTCGTGTCTGACCCACGCTGCCCCTTCCGGCTGCCCTGCTGCAGCCCTGCTCTTCCCCACACGGGTTCGCCATCGCTACTGAGGACAGTCTTGGGTGGGGTCTCCCTGGTGGGTGTTCAGAGCTACCACTCTGGGGGGGCCTCTGCTTGTTCCTGCCCCAGGCCCAGTGGGACTGTGTGAATCCCAAATACAAGCAGAAGAGACGCAGTTACAAGAACTCGGGGGCCGTCGTCCTGGCTGACCTGAAGGTGAGAGGCGGCCGTGCCCGAAGCCTCCCAAACCACAGGAGGAGCTTCCACTGCCCCCTCTGATTGTTGGATGGACCCTCAACCAGAGGCCTGGTGGGCCCCAGCACGTCTGGGGAGGGGCAGGGTGGGGAGAGAGGATGCAGGAGAGGAGAGGAGGGAGAGGGACTGGGCTGCGTGGGGGAGGGAGGCCTGGATCCCAGCTGGTACTGGCCTCGGCGTCTTTGGTGGGGGTGGGTGCCAACACCGCTGGCCTCGGTGTCCCTGGCCGGGGTGGCCGCCGACACTGCTGGTCGGAAGTTCCACAGGGTGTACTCCTTCCTGGACTACATCATGGGCGGCTGCCAGATCCACTTCACCGTGAGTCCATGGCCCCGCCTGTCCCCCGCCTGTCCCCCGTCCCTGCCCCCGCCGACCACCCTGAGAAGGAACCAGGCCAGATATCTGGAGTCCCCCAACTCCTGAGGGTCCCCAGCCTGGGGAGTGAAAGGTCACTGGCGGTTCTCGTGAGCCGATGTCTCCATGTGCGGCTCCTGGGGGTCCCCCCTTTTGTGCAGGCGAGGAAACAGGCTTGGGGTTCAAGAAGCAGCCCCAATCCCCCTTGGGAGGTGACATCACCAGGGCTTACCTTCCACAAACACATTTAACAACAGACAAAACGTGGAGGAGGAGAAGCTGGAGTGAGCGTTTGGGTGAACCAGCCACAGGCGCTACGTGTCATCCAAAGAGCCCGGCACGACCCCGTCTCACCCGTGTCACCCCTGTGTCACCCCCATGTCACTCCCGTGTCACCCACAGATACACAGCCCCCCGTGTCACCCCCATGTTGCCCCCGTGTCACCCCTGTGTCACCCACAGATACACGGCCCCCTGTGCCACCCTTGTGTCATTTGCAGATGTGCTGGTTCATGTTTTTGTTGAACAAGCCCCAGAATGGCTTTGGGAGAAGCCAGCAAGTGGGAAACGTGGAGGAGACCCAACCCAGGCTCGGTCCTCTCAGGCCCTGCCAGGGAGGGTGGTAGAGGGGTTGGGTGGCCGCTAAGAAGGATGGACGGGGACCCCACAAGGCCAGGGTGGTCCCGGTGGCGCGTCCTCCCGGGGATTCAGGGAGCTTAGGGGCTGGCAGGTTTTGAGGAGACCCCTCCTGGCCTGTGTAGCAGGTGAGGTAGCCCCAGCAGCAGCCCCCCAGCCCCACCCACACATGCGGCCCCTGACCCTGAGTCCTGGCCGCTCTGGGTGCGGTTTCTCTACCTGTCAGGAGCGGGTTCGGGGAGCCCCGGCCCAGCACAGCTTCTGGCTCCCGGCCCACTGCAGGTGGCCATTGACTTCACCGCCTCCAACGGAGACCCGCGGAACAGCTGCTCCCTGCATTACATCAACCCTTACCAGCCCAATGAGTACCTGAAGGCGCTGGTGTCCGTGGGAGAGATCTGCCAGGACTATGACAGGTGCGTGCGGCCGGCTTCCCCTCATCCCCTGGGCTCCAGGTCAGCTATGGCAGGTGTGCCCCGCTGCCTTCCCCTCATCCCCCTGGGCTCCAGGTCAGGCCTGGGGGCCCCATGAGGTGGGCACTGTGACTTTGTCAGACAGCGAGGGGCCGGGCACGATGGCTCACACCTGTAATCCCAGCACTTTGGGAGGCGGAGGCGGGTCGATCACCTGAGGTCAGGAGTTTGAGACCAGCCTGGCCAACATGGCGAAACTCTGTCTGTACTGAAAATACAAAAATTAGCCAGGCGTGGTGGCAGGCGCCTGTAATCCCAGCTACTCAGGAGGCTGAGGCAGGAGAATCGCTGGAACCCGGGAGGCGGAGCTTGCAGTGAGCTGAGATCATGCCCCTGCACTCCAGCCTGGGCAACAGAGCGAGACTCCATCTCAAAAAAAAAAAAAAAGAAAGAAAAGATTCTGTGAGGAAGGGCTGGGTAGCCCTACTGGAGGCTGCCACACAGACTGCACATGGTCCTGGGGGGACGTCTGTGTCCTGCTTTGCCAGAGGAGGAAACTGAGGTCACAGAGGCATGGGGCTCACCCGTGGATGCTCTACCAGGGAGGGCCTGGCACAAAACGCTGTGCTCTGAGCTTCTCACCACAACACAGACCCCTGGCCTGGGGCTTGAGAGGATGCCCTGAGCTCCCTGCCCCACAGACCCCTCTGTCTGGATTGATGAGGGCCATAGTGGGTGCCTTAGCCCCACAGGACCCCTCCCGGGGTCTGGGAGCCCCCTGAGGAGGCGTCTGCAGGGAGACGGCGTGTGCACAGGCATGGAGTTGGGAGGCAGCTTCACCAGCAGCAGGACCGTGCCCGCCCTGCACACTGGCCTGTGCCTCTGCCGCCCCGTGCCTCTGCCGCCCCGGGCCTCAGTTCCCCGCCTGTGGCAGGTGCTTGCTGCTGTGGTCCCAGGCCTGGGCCCACGTGGCCCTGGTCTCCTCTGGCAGGTGCTTACTGCCACGGTCCCAGGCCTGGGCCCGCCCTAGTCTTTTGGGCGCTAGTTGTGCTTCCTCAGAAGCAGCCCCTGCTGCAGCCAGGAGAGGTCCGGGACCCCGGTGACCGCCTGCCTCTCTTACAGCGACAAGAGGTTTTCCGCTTTGGGGTTTGGAGCCCGGATCCCGCCCAAGTATGAGGTAGGAGAACCCAGAGCCCGGGACCTCCGAGCTGTGCCCTTCCCATGCCCTCCCAGGCAGAGGGCAGCCTGGCCCGGGGAGCCCTGGCTGCCTGCTGGGAACTGGCGACTGTAGGATGGGATTGGGGTGCGAAGTGGGAACTCCAGGCTTCCAGCCAGAGAGGCTGACCTTTAACCTCCTAGGACTTGTTAGCTTGAGGGGTGTCTGGAGGCCAGCTCCATGTTCTTTCAGGAGACGGGGAAGGACATTAGTCTGGAATCCTCTAATGCACATAATTCAGCTGGCTTCGGCCAGGCACGGTGGCTCACACCTGTAATCCCAGCACTTTGGGAGGCCAAGACGGGCAGATCACCTGAGGTCAGGAGTTCCAGACCAGCCTGGCCAAGATGGTGAAACCCCGTCTCTACTAAAAATACAAAAATGAGCTGGGTGTAGTGGCACACGCTTGTAATCCCAGCTACTTGGGAGGCTGAGGCAAGAGAACTGCTTGAGCCCAGGAGGCAGAGGTTGCGGTGAGCCGAGATTGCGCCACTGCACTCCAGCCTGGCCTATAGAGCAAGACTCTGCTCAAAACAAAAGAAACAAAACAAAAAAATTCAACTGGCTTCAACAGAAAACATGGAGTGTGGGGATTTATTGGCTAATGTAAGCATCAGGCACTGCTGAAGCCAGGGCGTCTGCCTCCCCCTCTGTCTCATGACTCTGCAGAACATGGCCACCCACGGGTCCGGCTTCCCCTAGAAAGTCGAAGCCTACTTCTCCACTTGGGGACATGGGGGCCGGGTGGGGGAGCAGCTGACGGAGAGACGTGGGGCCGGTAGGGAGGGGTTGCAACAAGCAGATGACCGAGCCCTGTTGCTCCCACCCAGGTGTCCCATGACTTTGCCATCAATTTCAACCCTGAGGATGATGAGTGTGAAGGTAGGAGCTCGAGGCAGGCCTGGGGATGGGGTGCAAGGGGGCCGGGCTCACCCCCTGCCCCCCGCAGGCATCCAGGGCGTGGTGGAGGCCTACCAGAACTGTCTGCCCAGGGTCCAGCTCTACGGCCCCACCAACGTGGCGCCCATCATCTCCAAGGTGGCACGCGTGGCGGCGGCCGAGGAACGCACTGGGGAAGCCTCTGTAGGTGCCCGGGGGGCGTGGTGCATGCGTGGTGCATGCGTGGTGTGGGGTCGGCTATGTGTGCACCAACGCCTGGACATTAGGGAGGCAGCCAGGCAGAGGGAACAGCCAGCACAGAGGCCCCGAGGCAGAACAACTCAGGAGGGCGGGGGCCCAGCTGGTTGACTGCGTCTGCATCAAAGCTGCAGGTGTCTCGGGCACAGGGCTGTCCGTCGCCTCACAGGGTCACGGCCACAGCTCCAGCGAGGCTGCCCCCTCCTCTTCCTCTGGGCACCACAGGGCCACACACGTGTCTACTGTTTGGCTGTACGTGCATTGTCATTTTGTTTACGTGTGTCTTTACTTTGCATGAATGATCGGGCGCCGAGAACTGCGCTGGGCTCTACTCTGCCACCGTGTTCTGTGGCCCTGTATGTGTTGCTGGGGCCACAACCAGCGTGTTGCTTTTTTTTTTTTTCTTTTTTTCTTCTTTTTTTTTTGAGACAGAGTCTCGCTCTGTCACCCAGGCTGGAGTGCAATGGTGCGATCTCGGTTCACTGCACCTCCGCCTCCCCGATTCTCCTGCCTTAGCCTCCCGAGTAGCTGGTATTACAGCTGCCCGCCATCTCGCCCAGCTAATTTTTGTATTTTTAGTAGAGACGGGGTTTCGCCGTGTTGCCCAGACTGGTCTCAAACTCCTGACCCCCGAGCGATCCACCAGCCTCGGCCTCCCAAAGTGCTGGGATTACAGGTGTGAGCCACCGCACCCGGCCTGAAATAATTTTAAACTCACCAAAAAGTTACAAGAGCGCTGAGGTCCTGCAGCCCGTGAGACCACCAGCTGCTCACATGTTGCACTTCTGCTTCGTGTCTGTGTAGTTGTATGTTTTCTTTTTCAATTTCTCAATTTTTTTTCTTTTTTTTTCTTTGACGGAGTCTTGCTGTGTCGCCCAGTGGAGTGCGGCTCACTGCAAGCTCCACCTCCCAGGTTCACACCGTTCTCCTGCCTCAGCCTCCCGAGCCTGGCTAATTTTGTTTTTGTGTTGTTAGTAGAGACGGGGTTTCACCGTGTTAGCCAGGATGGTCTCGATCTCCTGACCTTGTGATCCGCCCGCCTCGGCCTCCCAAAGTGCTGGGATTACAGGCGTGAGCCACCGCGCCTGGCCTACCTCTTAATATTTCAATGTATATTTCCTGAGATCAAAGATATTCTTTTATATAACCGTAGCACAAATACAGATTTCAGGAAATTGAATTTAGATGCAACACTTTTATCTAATGCGTAGACTATATTCCAATTTCATTAATTGGCACAATTATAACTTTCAAAGCAGTATTATTCCTGGCCCAGGACCCAGCCTGGAGTCGGGATTGTGTTCAGCCGTCATGTTCCTGTGTTGTCTGGAAGCGAGTCTCAGACGGTTTCATCTGTAAATATCAGTGTCAGCCTCTAATAAACATAAGCCCTCTTTTTAAGCTGCCACGACACCTGACTGCGCCTAAACCACCACCCCTGGCGTTGCACGTCTGTCTGGTGTTTGTGTTTCCGTGACATGATTTTCTGTGGTTAGAACTGGGTTGAAACCAGGACCCAAACGTGATCGGCTGAGCCCTCGGTCCCTCTCCTGGACACGAAGCCCCGGGCCTCGCAGGGCCCCTCAGTGGGTTTTGGGGCCTGGTGCTCACACAGTTGGCAGCGGGGGTGGGGGCGTCATCGGGTTGGGAGGGGGTGGGGGGCTTTCTGAGGATGGGCTGTTTATCTGAAGGCTGAGAGCCAGGCTGGGCACAGCCATGGGTGCTTGTAGGCCTGGACTAGAGACCGCCTTGCAAACAGGTAATTTTTCCCACAGGTGTGGGGCTCAGAGGGGCAATGGGGAGGGCACAAAAGGAGAGCCTCTCGGAGAAAGTGACTCTGAGCAGGGTCCTGGGGCCCCTGTTCGTTTCCAGGACACATCTGCCCTCAGTGGGACAGGCTCAGTCAAGGCCAGCCCTGGGGAGGCTGCTGTGGGCTCCCACTCTCCTGGGGACAGGGCCGTTCCAGCCCCCCGGGGCAGCTGCTCAGGCCAACCCTCCTTCTCCAACTGTCCACAGTTTGGGCAAGATTATTATTATTATTATTATTTTTTTTTTTGAGACGGAGTCTGGCTCTGTCGCCCAGGCTGGAGTGCAGTGGCCGGATCTCAGCTCACTGCAAGCTCTGCCTCCCAGGTTCACGCCATTCTCCTGCCTCAGCCTCCCGAGTAGCTGGGACTACAGGCCCCGCCACCTCGCCCGGCTAGTTTTTTGTATTTTTAGTAGAGACGGGGTTTCACCGTGTTAGCCAGGATGGTCGATCTCCTGACCTCGTGATCCGCCCGTCCTGGCCTCCCAAAGTGCTGGGATTACAGGCTTGAGCCACGCGCCTGGCCTGGGCAAGATTATTGAGTAAGGTTTTATTTTTTTTAAACAATGGAAATGGATTTTATTTTGAAGTTCCATTCTTTTTTTTTTTTTTTGAGACAGTCTCACTCTGTCGCCAGGCTGGGGAAGTACAGTGGTGTAGTCTCGGTTCACTGCAACCTCTGCCTCCCGAGGTTCGAGGCAATTCTCTGCCTCAGCCTCCCAAGTAGCTGGGATTACAGGCGCTCACCACCACGCCTGGCTAATTTTTGTAATTTTTAGTAGAGATGGGGTTTCGCCATGTTGGCCAGGCTGGTCTCAAACTCCTGACCTCAGGTGATCCACCCGCCTCAGCCTCCCAAGGTGCTGGGATTACAGGCGACACCGCACCGGCCTCTACTCTGTCTGGTGCGGCACAGTGGACACCTGGAGAGACTGGAGCAGGGTGTAGGGGCTCAGGTCTGGCTCTAGGATTACTGATTTCTCCTCTGGCCTCAGACCTCCCATCCGGGCACTGTGACCTCATCAGTAAGTTGTGGACTTTGTAGACCTGCTCCAGAGCGCTCCGTGAGACTCATGGAGATTTCTGAGCTGGGGCACAAGAGAGGCCCAGAACAGAGTGCCCACCACGGAGGGGGGCTGACCTGTTGTTCGTGATGTTTGTAGCGCAGGCACATCCCGAGCGGTTCTAGGAAACTGACGCCTGGAGGCCCCGTGGGCTGTCTGGGAGGCCCGTGGGCTGCGGGCGCGCGTGGGAGCCCGGCAGGAGTGGTTGCTGCTGGCGCCTTGCCTGTGCCCCCAACATGCTACATCCTGCTGATCCTGACGGACGGCGTGGTGACCGACATGGCCGACTACTTGCTTGAGCCATTGTCGCGCATACGCCGCCTCCATCATCATCGGTAAAGCAGGCAACGCGACTTCACCGACATGCAGGTCCTGGGCGGGTCTGCGCTGTGGTGACGCGCTCGAGGACATCGTCCAGTTTGTGCCTTCCGGGGCGGCAGTAAGGTGTCCTGGAGGGAGCTCAGTCAAGGCCGACTTGGGGTCCTGTTCATGCCACTCCCAGACCCCCCAGGCCAGGCTCATGCCAGGCGTGGCAGGTCCCGTCTTGGGTCTGGGGGGTCCACGGCCTGTTCCCGAAATCGACAGCAGTATCTGAAGCCGGGACTTTGAGCTTCCTGAACCACCCCCGGCCCCCATTGCCAAGCGTCAGATCTACACACAAGCAAGAGGCTGCGCGGGGCTCTGGGGTCCGCCCACGCAGTTTCCCCATCGCTGCCAACCTCTGCGACCCAGTGGGGAAGCGCACACAGCACATGGCGAGTTCTCCCGGGTGAGACGCGCACAGCACACACGCGGGGTTCTCCCGGTGAGGCAGCGCACAGCACACACGCGAGGTTCTCCCAGGTGAGGCGCGCCCACAGCACACCACTTGGTTTCCCGGTGAGACGCGCACACTTACACCTGCTTGAGTTCTCACGGTGAGACGCGCACAGCACACACGCGAGTTCTCCCGGTGGGGGCGCGCCACAGCACACACGCGAGGTTCTCTCCGGTGAGACGCGCACAGCACACCTGCTTGAGGTTGTGCCGGTGGAGACATGTATGTCACACACATGGTGCCCTACAGCAAGACATGCACACAACACACGTGAAGGAGGTTCTCTCCGGTGAGACGCGCACAGCACACACGCGAGGTTGTGCCCGGTGAGACATGTATGTCACACACATGGTGCCCTACAGCAAGACATGCACACAACACACGTGAAGTTCTACACAGCAAGACATCAGACATGCGTGAAGACAGACACGACATTCTACGCAGTGAAACATGCATGTTACAGATACGTGAAGCTCTGCGGTGAGTCACGTTTTACAGACACACTTGGGCTTTTCTGGGGAAGTGTGGGTGGGGCCTGGGCCGGAGGTGGCCTCGCCTGCCACGTCAGCACTTTTTGTGTCCGTGCTTGGGGGACTGGAATGACCCACGTGCAACCTCGTGTGGCCAGCATCCTCAGCAAGGCTTGCCTGGCCCCAGGTGAGCCTCTGGTGGGGGTGTCACCACCTGGTTCTAGAGGATGTAACCCAGGTGTGGAGATGGACGATCTCCATCTCGAAGGTCCCAGATGTAACCGAGCTGTCCTGCCTCCAGGCGTCCCCTGCGGCGCTGGCCAAGTGCGTGCTGGCCGAGGTCCCGAAGCAGGTGGTGGAGTACTACAGCCACAGAGGCCTGGCCCCGAGAGGCCTGGACGTCCCTGCTGGAGAGGCCAGCGCAGGCTGCACCCCGTGAAGACGTGGAGGGCGTGGGGAGGGGCAGTGAGCAGTGGGTCCGTGGAGCCTTGGTCTCCAGCACCTTTGGGGTCTCTTAAGCTCCCTCCGACCTCCCAGAAGCCTCCAGTCCCCGCCAGGCCCCACTCCCAGTCCTCCTGGGATCCTGCTGGCTTGGGCCCGGGTCCGGGGTCCCCGAGGCCGAAGGGTGATAAAATACAGGCCTCCATGCCTGGCCCTGCCTGAGCCAGGTGGCTGGAGGGACATCGTGAAGGATTTGGAGGGGCCTGGGAGCTCATCCAGCGGAGACCCTGCCCCGACGAGAAGGGGCACGGACTGGGGCTCTGCTTTGCATCTGATCTTTGTGGGGGAGGGCCAGCAGGGCAGCACCCCAGCCCCCAACAAAGCCCAGGGTGCCCAGACACCCTGTCCCCACAGTTAGCCTCCTTCTGTCCCTGCTCTGCCCCCACCCCCACCCACCTTGTGTGTTTTGCCGTCCAGCCTCTGCACCCAGGTCCATGGGGTCTGCGGGGTCTGCCTGGCCTGTGGGTTCTGCCGGGGGGCGTCAGGAGTAATAAAGTGTCACCCTACCCTTGTAGTTCTCTTGTGCCTTCAGTCCCTCCCCCAACCCCCCAGAGGGCTGGGCCCGGCGCCCGGTGTGCCCACATCTGAGGCAGGGGCTCTCGCAGACCCAGCCCGCCAGGACTGAGTGGGTCCAGGGAGGGGATGCAGGGACGCACAGGCTGCCAGGGGCAGGGAGCGGGGAACCACACCATGGCTGCCTCCACCCCTGAAGGAGTTCCGCTCGGCTGCCCGGGACTCCCCAGGCCTGAAACCCACTCAGTGAGGACTGTGGACATGAGGCAGGGGTGCCGGGAGCCTCCCACATGGCCTGCGCCGCAGGGACCTGGGCTGGGGGCACTGAGTGAGGCCTCCGTGAGATGCTTATGGAGCCAGGACATCTCCCACCTGCTGGAACCTCCTCGCCCTGAATTTGAGATTTCCCCTGAATTATCTTGTCAGAGAAAAACAAATTGTCCCAATCCTGAATCCAGGCCCACCCATCCCCCTATGTATCCATCCACCCACCCATCCGTCCATCCACCCATCCGTCCATCCACCCATCCATCTGTCCACCCATCCGTCCATCCCTCCGTCCATCCGTCCATCCTCTCTGGGGCCTATTTTTAGCTCTTGGTTCAGCATGGATATCACCATGGTAACCTGGCCAGTCTGTGAATTTCGGAAGGATCAATGTTGGTCTCTTTGGGGATGGAGAGGCCCAGAGATCACCCCTCCATCCACATCTGAAGGCTTCGGGCCCTGAGCGGGTCGGGGGGGTCTCGGGCTGGGCAGAGGGTGAGCGTTGGTGCCCTGTGCCACCTGCATGTGGTTTTTGTGCCAGAAAGTGTCAGACAGTTTCTGGGCTGACTCAAAGCCGAGGGGTGTTGGTCAGTTGAGATCCTAGCAGGAAGCAGGTGGTGCTGAGGAGTTACCTCAGAACAGGGTTGGGGCAGCCCCAGTGGGGCCCCAGGGAGCTGCCCTTGGACAGGGATGGGCAGGTCACTTGGTGAGCTGGTGCCCTGAAGGGAGCGTCCCGTCCCGGAGCCCCGTTGCCTTACAGGGATGTGGGCACGCCCAGCCCACCTCCCACCCTCTCTTCTCCTGCCGGCCTCCCACGGCGGAAGGCAGCAGCCCTGGGGTCAGGCTAGTGGGCAGGCTGGGCCACCCTGGTCTCCGTGCTGCTGGGTGTCTGGGGTGTGTGTGAGACTATCGAGGGGCAGCAGGGACAGGATGGCATCTGCCAGCTCTGTTGCCCAAGCTGAAGTGCAGTGGTGTGATCTGGGCTCACTGCAACCTCCGCCTCCCGGTTTCAAGCAATTTTCCTGTCTCTGCCTCCCGAGTAGCTGGAATTACAGGCACACACCATGCCCAGCTAATTTTTGCATTTTTAGTAGAGATGGGGTTTCACAGTGTTGGCCAGGCTGGTGTCGAACTCCTGACCTCAGGTGATCCACCTGCTTCGGCCTCCCAAAGTGTTGGGATTACAGGCATGAGCCACCCGCACGCAGCATTCTTTTTTTTTTTTTGAGACAGAGTCTTGCTCTGTCACCCGGGCTGGAGTGCAGTGGCGGGATCTCAGCTCACTGCAACCTCCACCTCCCGGGTTCAAGTGATTCTCCTGCCTCAGCCTCCCAAGCAGTTGGGATTATAGGCGCCTGCCACCACACCTGGCTAACTTTTGTATTCTTAGTAGAGACAGGGTTTCACTGTATTGGCCAGGCGGGTCCTGACCTCAAGCAATCCACTCTCCTCGGCCTGCCAAAGTGCTGGGATTACAGGCGTGAGCCCCTGGGCCCAGCCCCAACGTGGATTCTGACGCTCTGCGGTAAGGATGCTGGGCGCTGCTCCCATGCTCAGGAGACGCGGCTCCCGGGAACCGCACTGTGCTGCCGGCAAGTCCAAGCACGCCCCACCCCAGCTGAGCTCCCGGCTGGCAGCCAGTGCCAGGGCCACCATGTGCGTGCACCACCTCCAGCAGCTCCTGCCTTCTGGGGGCCGCAGCCCTTCCTGCACCCTCTTCCTGCACCCTCATGAGAGGCCTGAGCCAAAGCCCGAGCCACACAGCAAGTCCTCGTGCGGATTCCTGACCCAGGTCGGGGCCCGGGCTAACCCATGGTTGCTGTTTGAAGCCACTCAGTTTGGGGGTGATGAGACATAGAGCAGGAGTAACAGACGCATCTTCTTTCCCAGGGATCCTGTAAGGACTGAATGAGGGATGCAGAGCCCGGCTTGACAGATAGGTGTCAATTTCACAAGCAGAGTCGACGTCTCCTCGTTCTCAGGGACGGCCAGTCACAGCTGCATCCTTTTATGCTGAACTCCCCCACCCTGTCCTGCTGGACACCGGCTGCCCGGGCCTCACAGGCTGAGGACTCAGGGCCAATCCCTGCCCACCCATTCGCAGAGTGGGACCAGGGCTCTGACTGGGGTGGTGGGGGGGCAGCTGGAGGGAGTGGGAAGAGCAGCAGCTCGGCGTCCAGGCTGTTCTTTCTCCCGCTGCCGAGGCGAACACAGGCAGGAAGTTGTGACTAAGTGCTTGTAATTGGTGCGGGGGCTGTGGCAGGGCTGTCAGACAGGAGCACCGCCAGCCCCTGGCACAGCAGGGCCGTGGGCGAAAGCTGTCTTCCTTGCCACCTCACGCCTCACCTGTCCCTGCACTGGGGCCCCACCCCCATCGGAGCCCACCCAGGACCCCTGTCCAGCAGGTGCCTCCCTGCCCCCACCCCACCAAGACCCACCACAGCCCAGGAGTACTGAGTATTCCAGTACTCACTGAGCTAAGTTCCCACAACAACCCTGCCTGGCTGACTGCTGGGAGTGCATCTCACTGAAGGGACAGCCGACCTCAGAGAAACCCTAGGTGCACTGCTGGGAGGCAGGGCAGGGTGGCGAGCTGGGCCTGGTCACTGGGTTCCCAGGACTCAGCCTGGAGCCCCCAGGTCCTGGCTGGGCACATGTACGTGTGTTAGACGTGTGTGTGTGTGCATAGGCATGTGTATGTGCATGGATGCATGGGTGCATACGTGTGCACAGGTGTAGATGTGCTGCTCTGTGCATGTGGGAGAGGCTGGAGTGGGGGTCTTTGTCCTCACTGCTTTACTGAAACCTCTTTAGGAGCCCCGGCTGCACTGGGACTTGGCCGCACTGCCAGCCCTCCCCATCCCAGGCAGTCAGCATCCAGACCCCACACGGAGCATGTGACGTGCAAGGTCTGGGTGCTCCCTTACTCCACGGGGACAGTACGTTACCATCCCACTGTGCAGGGAAGCCCTGGGGGATTCTGGGAAGCCCTGGGGGATTCTGGGAAGCAATAGGGGCGGGAGGGAAGCCCTGGGGGTTGGAGGCCAGGGCTGGAAGGGACTGTTCTCTCATCCCGTGGGTGAAGCCAGGGCCTCAGGTTGGGCACACAGGGCCTTCCTCGGGCAGCCACAGCCTAAAATGTTTCCATTTCACAGCCACAGGTGGAACCCCATGCCCGCTGGGACCCCCGATTCTGGGCACACACCTAGTTCACATCCTTCCTGCAGACACACAGATACACGTCTGTGTCCGCACAAAAGTCCAGACAGACTTATGGGCCAACAGACACACAGGAGCAGGTCAGGTGGGGAGCAGGGGCTGCTGGTGGCCCGGGGTGAGGACATTGCAGCCGTAGAGTCGGGCCTCGGCGGCCAGGCTGGTGGGGACGTGCTGCCAGGGAGACCGCGAAGGCTCTGGAGGCCCTGGGTGCGGACTGGTGCCTGACATTGACCACGGCAGACGTCCTGCCTTATCTAGAAGGCCCTTCTGTTATAAGGCTGGAGAGGCAGCCCTTGGGCTCCCGTTGGCTGCACAGACGCCTATGAGGGGGTTCGGGTGGTGGGGTTCACTCCCAGTGTCTGGGGGGACTGAAGCCTGCTGGGGCGGTGTGGATGTTGGAGCAGTGTGAGCCATCCTGCCCAGGCCCCACCCCAGCTGCCGCGCCTCACCCGACTTGAGCAATGTCAGCAGTTGGACGTCGGTGTGCTGGATCAGAAGTTACGTGCATCCTCCCAGGACTCCTGGGAGCAGGTGCGGGTGAGGGCCTGGACCACGTCCCTGTCTGCTGCATCCTCTGCCGTGGGTCGGGTCCTGCTGGGCGGCACAGGCAGGGAGTGCCGCTGGAGGGCTCTGTGGGGATTCTGTTATCCACACCCGCCCTACCAGAGGCCCAGGCAGGTTCTAGCAGGTGGACACCAGCTCCGCCATCGCCACCGTTAAATACAAGCAGAGACCCACATTCAGGTGCCCTCCCAGGACCAGCCTCAGGCCCTCGTCAGCCTTGCCTGCCACCTTGGCCAGGGCAGAGCTCACCTCAGCAGGAGAGACGGTGCTCTGGGCGAGTGCCTGCTAGGCCGCAGGGCTGTGGGATTCCGCTGCTAGCACCACCCACGGCCCCTGTAGGCTGCTCTTCAGTGGCCAACAGGAGGGCTGGGATGCGTGGGCCTCCTGTGGGAAGGGCCCTTGGGAGTGCCTGTCTCCCTCCCAGAAACCTCAAAGCCGCGGTGGGGCAGCCGTTGTACATTCTACCACAGTCCTCACCTCCCAGGCAGAAACCTCCATTTCATCTTCACGTAGCAGCTGCCCGGCCTGGGCTGGTGTGAGGGGGTCCTGCAGCCAGTGGTGGGTCTGGAGCCCCAGGCAGCCCCTACCATCAGTCCTCATCCTCTTTTGCCTTCCCCTTCCCCTGCCTCCAGGGAGGAGAGCAAAACAGCCCGGGCGCCTGAGGTCGGGTCCCCACACTCACCACCAGGTCACCCCCACCGGCTGTGCCAAGAAAGCTCCTCTCTGGAAGCGTCTGTGCCACAAAGCCCTAGAGCAGGTGGTGGCCGAGGCAGGGGCAGGGCCAGAGGGATGCGATTGGACTAACCTGGGTCAGAAGGCTCGGTGGGGGGTGCGGGGGGAGGACCTGTGATGCCTCCGGGGCCGATCCCCTAGCCCTGGGTGTCAGCTCTGCTCCAGGAGGGGCAGAAAACAGACCCACCTGCCAGGATGAGGTAAGAATTATTTATTTAT